AAAAAGAGAGAGCAACAAAGTGAGAGATTCCTCTTATAAGTCAAGACGATCGACTGGTGTAAATTCCTCAAGTAGTAAAATCATCTACAACTTTATGGACGTAGGCAATTTGTCGAACCACATAAATCCTTGTGTTCCGCTTGTATGATAATACTTAGTTGAAAAATAAATGAGATCAACCGAAAAAATTGAAAATTGTGAAAGTAATTAAAGAGGAGCAGCTGGATTAGATTGAGACCCTACTAAAACAGTGGGCGCATCAAAGGAGTGATACACAGAAAAATTTTGAGTAAATAGAAAATGTTATTAATTTTTTATATTTGCATATTTATTGAACTTCGATTTTAACAATTGCAGGTCTTGTCCAATGCCAAAAAATATAGGATTTTTTATGTAGACCATGGGTTGGAAAAGAAACTTGATTATATATTTCTCGATTTTGTGAAGATAATATAGTTGAGAGAAAACATTATAGATGTTTTATTGAATTCATCGGGTATATCTAATTAATATTTTGTGATGTTTTCATTTTGAGATTTACTGTTTCAAATGTAATGAAGATTAGTTGATATTTATTTTCTCCAACATGTTTCGAAATTTTAGTTTTTAAGGTTATGACTTTAGTGATGCATATTTTTTCTTATACCTTATTTTTTTTATTATGAACGCAGATTTTTTTACTAGTGTTCTATTGCATATATAGTCTAATTTGTCAATTAAAAACATAATATATTATGATCTATAAAAAATGAGTTCAATGTCATTAAGTACTTCAAATGCTTTGTACTGTGATTGTGGAACGTTGTGTTCTAAATACACATCAAAAAGAGAAATGAACTATGGGAGGAGATTTCATTGTTGTCCTGAAAATAGAACATGTGAAGATTGTATTTTTTTTTTGATGACTTGAAGATATATAGTAGCTGAATCCAGATAGTAAACAAGTCATGGGAGATGTATTATGGATAGAAAATTATCGCGAGTATTTAATTGTTTAGACATTAAGGAGAATGTCATTAGAGTATTACTAGTTGTTTTTGTGGTTTTTATTATTTTAATACTATACATAAAATTATGGCTTACAATTGATGTATTAAAAAATTTTAAACTCCTAATATATATTTTTTTTATTGTTGAAGCTATTTTTGGTATTCTGTCACAATTCTCTTGAAAACTACAGTCATTCAATTAACTTACATTTATAAGGGCATAATTATCCTTTTAATCAGAAAAAGTTGCAGCACAGCAAATTATCCAACCAACCTCACTGTCATTCCAACAACAACTTTCTCACAACTACTTCCCCAGAGAAGAACTTCACAGCTGCTTCTTCAAAAAAACAACAGCCGCCCCCAAATGCACCCTAGGAGAGATCAAATTTGTGTGCTCGAGAACATATATAGCTTAATGGTTTTGAATTTGATTTTTTAAAAGATATTTAGTGAAATTTGAGGAAATTCTATGCTAATCAAGGCGAATTTTATTTCTACATGAGCTTATATTTAGCCAATGTAGCATTATTAGACCATGTAAACAAGCTTTTAGTATATCGATTGGAGCGTGTGCAGATAATTTAGATATATTTAATATTATACTGTGAAGCACTTTGCACATTTAAGGCATTAGTAATTAAGTAATTAATTTAATATTATTTAGAGAATTTGTTTCTTAAAGTATTTGTATGTCTTTTGAAGTGATAAAATTGAGTTGAATAGCATCTCGAATCACAAGCAAAATTTAAAATAACTTGGATTTAAGCATTTTGTATGAACGTCCCAGTGTGAATGTTCTAACTTGATTATTTCTTATTTAAAATTTGTAATTCAAACTTTAACAAGCCTGACTAATCAACAAGAGTTTGTTCGTGTTAATAAGCAAGCTATTGAATTCATTTCAAATCCCACTTGATTCTTATTTGCATTCTTGCAACACATCTCAATAACTATTCATTTTATTTTTTCAATTTAATGTTCCAATTTTATTTAATTTATTGCATTAGTATGTCAAAAAGTTCACTTAGATTATTCTATTTAAGCACTAATAAGTCCACCTTTTTTTGCTGACCTCCAAAAAAATATCACGCATACCCCACAAAGGGGAGTTCTACAGAGAATTAAGTCTACCCATCACACAAAAAAAAGTTATTACATGCATACGAGACACCAAATTCAGGATCTTCTACAACCACCATGCCAAGAAAGGTGCACATGAGTCTTTATGCATCTGCATGAAAGACTACTAGCATATATTCCCACTACGTCAAATATAATGCATAAAAATACTTATATTTTTGCAATAGCCGACTTATTTTTTTGAATTATTTCTACGTACAAAATCGACAATGCAGTGGCAACGAAGTCAGCGAAGTCACAAGCAACAACTGGCTCAATAGAGTGAATGACTAAAAGTGATGAGAGAAGAAGCATACACGAACAGTCGCATGTTGCCTACAACAACTCAAAACTGAGGGTGAACGAGAACATTAGAGATTGAAAGAGGACAGAGGATCTATGCATTAAATTAGATTTTATTAGGTTTTATTTCTTTTAATAGCATGAGGACCATAGGCCCTCACGTCCATCCAATCATTAAAACAATACTTAACAACACCACTAGCCTTGGCCTTATTGAATTGGCACAAGAAATTATAATTCATGTCGATGGCTCAAGCATCAGCATTGGCATTACATTATGAAAAAGAGTAGGTTAATTGCTTAATACAGTCAAAAACTCGATAAAAAAAATGCATCGACAATCCAACTACGCTCAAGAAATGCTCACTAGTACAAAAGGCTTTACCAAATAGATACAATAACTAATCAAAAAAGGCTTTAGTAGAAGGTTCATTAACTGATAGACAGGCAATGCAAACAGCAGAGCAACAATGATTTCCAAACCATATGTAACCAACAGGCCAATAACAAGGCATTTGACAGCTCTTCTCAAAATTTAATAAAATCACCAAAATATATCATGCCTCATGAATTAATGTTATTCAGTGCTCCAATTCCATCTCAAATAGAGTAGCTCAATATAAAAAACAACTAAGACTATGAAACTGTTAAGATCAGTGTTGAGTACAACTTATTTGATGGAATAGTCTTCAAGAAGGGATGCATAATGATTACCATGAATTCCAATATCAAGGTAGACCTACGCAAAGAGAATCACACAAAAAACATAGGCACTCAAAGCGATAGTCGAAAAACACTGCCACACCTCCACCATATAACCTTCAAAAAAATGGATCAAGGTTGTCCAAACATGTTCCATCTACCAAGCAACCACATACCACTCCTCAGCTCTAACAAGCCTGCTACAATAGTTAATCAATTTCAATTGCAACATTAAAAAATTTCGCAATGGATTTTAAATTTCATTACCAAACTACAAAGTCGCAAGGTAATACAGCAATCTTGGTCGCGGAGGGCAAGCTAACAAAAAACATATATGTATATTTCACTCCCCACAAAGACATGGTATAGCCTCAAGATCATTGCAATACTAATGTGTCAGCAACATGGCATCACCAAGACCATAATTTTGGATTGTGACCATATTCATAAGCGCCTTGTGGAAGGTACTATTCAAAGCATTCAACACAAAACTCTATCATAATACCACCAACATATAGAGGTGACAAATCAAGAGTTGGAGCAATATTAATGAAGCTTAGTTAAGGACAAGCAACCAAAAGGATCACTTAGCTACCCTATGTGAAACTCTCTTATAACATTGCTTCCACTCCATCAAAACGTCACCTTTTCAAGCTCTCTTTGGTACACTCCACTCCCACATCACCTATATATCAGCTATGATTCAACAATTGACAAGGAGAACAAGTTGTTATTTATCGAGAAGCAGCATGGTTAAACCACAAGTATAACCTCCTTCAAGCACAATAATGAAAGCAGCATCGAGCAGACAAATGACAGCACAGCATCAAATACAATGTTATGATTTGGTTCTCATCAAACTACAACCATAGCAATCTTTTTGTTCACCAACAGGCTTACTCTAACTTTTACAATGTTTCTATGCTCCATAAAAGGTGTTTGAAAGAGCAATCAAGAGGTAATAGTATCTACTGCCTCTAGGATCCATCGTGTATTCCATGTCAATATTGATGATTTGCTTCTCATCAAACTACAACCATAGTGATCCTTTTGTTCACCAACAGCCTTACTCTAAGTTTTACAATGTTTCTACGGTCCATAAAAAGTGTTTGAATGAGTCAATCAAGAGGTCACACTATCTTCTTCCTTTAGGATCCATCTTGTATTCCATAATTTCCAGCTCAAACCATACCATCTGAACACAACACTTCACTCATCTCAACTTCCAAAGCAACAATTGTGCAATCAACTCTTTGTCCAACCAACAGCAATGCTAAAGTACCATTGAGATCAAACTTATAGCCCAATAGGAATGGTTGTGACAAAACGACTCAACATGTCTGGCTGAGCTCATTGCAGCTTTTCCCACACTTGAGGACAAGGTCATTTTTCAAGGGAAAGCAGGAATTGGAATGCCACCGAAAAAGTCAGACATAGGTAGCAAAATGAGGGAGTGCAACAGTAGGAAATGGGCAAATGAACAAAAAAACTACCTTGTTTGTTGTAGGAGTTCTACGCAGAGAAAAGGTTGGGTAAAATGGGTAGACAATTATGTAGCAGAACTCTAGGTATCCCTTCATTGCAACTAGGAATAGCAACGAGAAGATAAATGATATGTAATGGTTTAATATAATACAAACAAACAAAAAAAAATATCTACTTAAATTGCCTAATGTTCATTCTTCCCCCCAATAGGAGTCCCAAGCAAACTTGAATTGCTTGATTGTGTATCCTCCTCCTAAGAAAATATGCACACATGAGCACAAATTCCACTCCATTTGTACTTTGAATGGTCAATCCTGTTCATCATGTCAGATAAATACATTATATTACAGTGGATGAAGGCATACATATACTAAACAATTAACATGACAACATTTAAAAAAAAAAAAACTCCAACAATCTTGTTGGAAATGTATCCCTTCTCCCAATCCTGATTATCCTCTCCCCGTTCTAATTATCAGAAGAGAAAGAATCAAGTTAGTAATAAAAATTAAACGCATTTATGCAGAAATTTTCAAAACAAAAATATGCATTTCTTGCAACATATTAACAACATCAACTAGCTCCTGCCATTCCATTCCTTCCAATACTCAATCACATTAAAAGGTGCAAGAAAGAATCCAAATAATAAACATCTGAGAAACAGAAATAGCAGCCATTATCAAGCAGTATGTAGTCATGTTGAAACTCCAAAAACATTATCAAAGTAAAAAACAAAGCATAAAATTGAAATGATTAGACAACAAAGGTGACATCTTGCAATAAATTGTTATTTTTCATAGTTTAATGTAATTTGTGCAACTTAAGCATATCACATTAATGAAGAAAAATTTTGCACAAATTAAGTTGATTATTATTGTTTGAGAGGTAGACCATATTTAGAGTTACTTGATTTAATATAGCAAGATATAAGGCATGAATGCAGCCATTCATATTAAAACAATGAAATCCTCAAAGGTCATGTAAAAAACAATGACAAAAGGTTGTACTGCCACCAAATCATGAAGTGCAATGTCAAAACCCAGCATCATCCAAAACATTTCACAAAGTAATTAAATTAGATGCAGTCACCATTCATGGTAATATAATGGATCAAACAAGAATAAAATGATTACAATTTACAAATGTATTGTTAACATCAATTTCTTTAACCATTACAGTTAAAACATGCTGCTAATAAATCCTTCAACAACAACGTAATTTATAAAGCATGCCATAAACCATATGCCAAAATAGCAATGAATATGTATATTAATAAAATTCAGAAATAAAATATTAAATAGCAAAATAACCATCAACGAAACATGTACAGCAAATAACATAGTAATCAATTCAATTTAGGGTATAATTGGAATAGCTGCAATGATTTGAAGAAGCAACTATGAAGTTGCTGCAGAAGAAGCTGTTGTTAAAAAAATTGCAATAATTTTGCAAGTTTATTGTAATTTAAAAAAAAAAAAATCAAACAACCTTTTCAGGCAGTCACCACACTTTAAGTGATCGGGTTGAAAAAAAAACAGTTTTCTACCACCGAAATTTTTAAAAATCAACAAAAAAGCAATTCCCAAACAATATTGTGATGGCAGTCTGAAAAGAAAAGCAACCAGAAAGTTGCCCCAAGCAGAACCTTACTAATAAACTCTAGCATGCCAAAAGAATATAAAAACAGTATTCAAGCATCGACGCATGAAAAGATAATATTTTTCATCAACAGTGAGACAAATTTAACACTCAATTCCAAATAGAATGCATTCCATCCACTACTGCATTCATCTACTAAGAATTCCAAGAGTAACAGCGCATGAAAAGTTAATATTTTTCATCAACAGTGAGACAAATTACTGCATTCATCTACTAAGAATTCCAAGAGTAACAAAACAAGCAACAAAAATCATTCAGACCATAAAATTCCAAGAGTTATTATGAACAATAAACACAATCAATCAATTACCTTAGAAATAATGGTGGGTGTTCTGATACATCCCACCACCAAGTGGAAACCGATGTCCAGGAGATGACCCTGCAGGCTGCTGATGCTGACCTTGGTACATTGAAGAAGAGTATGGTCCACTCTCAGAATAACCACTTGAAGGCATACCCACAGAGCCTACCGGCAACATCCGGTACAGAGAAGAACCCATGCCCAAACCTCCGTAGCCACCGGAGCTTGAGTACTGAAATGAGGAACCATATGGACCACCACTCAAACCACTAACTCCATAGGCCCCCGCTCCAGAACCAGCCAGCGTGGAAGGCACCTGACTTCCAAGAGATGGTACTCCTGCATTTCCTAAACCAATTGATGGTTGCAAAGGGGTGTTAAGATGGTGGTGCTGTCCGAAACCTGCAGCAACACCAGGAAGCACACCATTTCCAGAGAAACCACCATATGATGGGAACCCCCCACCATGGCCACCAAACTGATTTGACAGGGACCCAGGCAATGAGGACTGAGAGCCCATTGCCAGCCCATCACCATGGCCATCAGATCCCGTGCCTGTCATCAGTTGGCCCTGCACTCCAGAACCCGGAACAGTAGCCCCAGGCTTCCCCTTTTTCCCTTCAGTGGCCAACTTGCACTGCAACTTGTACCCATCAATAGTCTTTACTGGTTCAACAAGAGCCGCTTGAGCAGCTTCCGCATTCTTATAGACGAACAAGGCATAACCCCTGAACTTCCCCGTAAGTTTATCAAAACCCAGCGGGCCCTCCTCTATCTCGCCATACGAGCTGAAAAGGGCATGGAGGCGATCGGAAAGCATATCAGAAGGCACATTACCAACAAAGATCTTCCGCTGGGAAACATCAGCAGCGGGAGGAGGGGGGGCTGTGGGTCCTGCAGCCGCGAGCTGGGTTACGGTCATTCGGCCATCGATCTTCTTATTGGGCTCCTTTAGGGCAAGAAGCGCACTGTCAAAATTGCGGAAGGTTATGAACCCGTAACCCTTGCTCTTTCCGGTGTTTTTGTCAGTGATGACCACGGCCTCCTCGAGTTCGCCGTACTTGGAGAAGGTTGACTGGAGCATTTCCGCGGTGATCTCCCATCCTAAGCCGCGGATGAAGAGCTTGCGCAGAGCAAGGTCTCGATTAGAGATGATGCGCACGGCGTCCAGAACGGCAGCGTCACGGCACATGGCATCGGCGACGATGTCGACAAGCTGCTCCTGGTTGAAGGATTCGATAATCTTGCGAGTGTCCTCACGGGTCAGACTAAGCGAAGGAGAGGGAGCGGGGGCACCATTATCGTCGGCCTTGCGCTTCTTCGAGGAAGGATCCATAGCGAAGCCTAAAACCCTAACCCTAATCCAAGTACAAATTCTCCAAGAGCGAAACGCTGCGGATATGAGCACGGATTTGAGGAGTGAGCACTGATACTCACGCTCGCATTGTCAGGCTCTATGTGTTGCATCACCTAAATCTCACCGAGATTACTTAGAGTTATTTTCAAATTTTTGAAGTGGAAGTATCAAGGGAGATTACTTTAGAATTATTTTTAAATTATTGAAGTAGAAGTGTGAAGATATTTTAGATTTATTGAAGAGAAAGTTATATATTATACTTTAATAATCCTGGAATAGCACTATGGAGTTTGTTTAGAGGTTATTTCAAGATTATTTTAGGGTTATTGAAGTGAAATTTATAGGTTTATCTTCAATAGCCCCAAAATAATCCCGAAATAATATCTGCAATGTTATTTCGGAGTTATTGAAATGGAATATATGGGTTTCTCTTCAATAACTCCGAAATAACATCCCTAGTATGAGGTTATTAAAATGGAATATATGAGTTTTTTTTTAAAAACCCCAAAATAACTCCAAATTAATATTCACGATGTTATTTCAAGGTTATTAAAATGAAATATATGAGTTTCTCTTCAATAACCCTAAAATAACTTCTGTAGTTTCACTTCAATAACATTGAAATAACTCCGAAATAATCTTTGTGATGTTGCACATGTGACTACATATTATTGGATTCCACATCAGGGTCGCATGTGCATGTACATGGAGCAATATTTTACCTAGGTTGCTAGAATAGTCCATATAAGTTTCTTGTTATTTTGCTTTTTTAATAATTAAAATATATTTATTTAGCTTTCATTTTTTTTCATTTTCAATAATACAAATTTATTTCTTGCAATCAAAATTGTTAAAATAGGTTAACAATAGGAAACTAATTTCCAATTCGTTTAAAAAAATTATAATACATACACCAATTTTAAAGTAATTGCTTTCTTCATAACAAATGTATAATAAACTTTTTAAAAAATTAAAGCATCAAAATAAACTCTGAAAGTCTGTTTAGTTGTCGATTTTAAATATGATTTATACAAGCTTTTAAGCTGCAAAAAATGCCTTTCTAAAATCCTACATATTCTTAAATATCAGTTTTCCTCTTTTTTGCTTTAAATCTGGGATTTAGTAAATCACGTTGAATGGATTTATGAGATTTAGAGAAGCTAAAGGATGCGGGGGAAGAGAGAGGAGAGGTGGGGGTGGGTGGAGGGCAAGACAAGGTTTACCTTCCTCAATGGTTTCTGATAGAAGTGGATCAGAAGGATAAAAAGGATGGGAGTTTCAAACCATAATCTTTGCCTTCCCAGATATAATTGCGACTTGTTGCATGAGTTTTTAGTCATGACTAGGACGTTGTTATCACAATTAAAAACTTCTCACCACTTCTATAACCTATACTGAGCTAAAAGGAAGAGTTGAATCCCTCAAATTCTCAGCTTGTCTGCAAGCGAGGACTAGGAAATAACTGAGTCTTCTCGACAAGAACGTCCCTATGCTTCAAAGTCTACCAGTTCATAAGGGCAAGGGTTAATTACTGTATCCCAAACTTGCGGTGGTCTAGCTTAAGGAAACAACATCAATGATGTATCAAAGGA